GTTGGGTGGGCGGGAGGTTAGTCCGGGCGGGGGGGGGGTGGTGGGGGGGGGGGGGGGGGGGGGGGTGGGGGGAGGGGGGGGGGGGGGGGGGGGGGGGGGGGGGGCGTGGGGGTGACAGTAGGTGATGCTGATAAGAGTGAGTGTTGCTGTGGTTGTGGTTGTGGGTGTGGGCGTTGAAGTGAGTGTAGCTGTTTAAGAGAAGAGAAGAAACAAAATACACAACTACACCCTCACATTAACATAATCAGACGAGAAAGAAATTCATTGTACGCATAAGTGTCGGAGAGAAAATATCATGCCCAGAAGTGTCAGTCAACCGATCTACACCTTTGTATGGGTGCACATAGCCTGATGAGATCAAAGGCTTTTCATTAAAGTTATTAGTGTTGCATCCTCATCATGAATTTTAAATCTTTTATTCGCTATGTTCAAGAAAACGTTAGAAATCTAATCAATTTTCCAAACCAAATTTCGACTAACAACATCGTCTTATTGGCACTTAATTTTAGAAAGATAACTTCGCATCCCATTGCTTTGGACATTTTTCAAACTTCGGCTGTCTCAAGATGAGCCCCAAGAAAACAGAATCAAAAGGGTGATTATCAAATTGTATCATGGCATGAAGACGAAGTCTCTATCATTTATACTACGCCGTTTAACTGATTTCGTGCCATTATTGAGAATGTATTGATAGAGTTTCATTAATCATTGTTGTTTTATTTATAGGAGACATGGTACCTCTGATAGTACAAATTACAACGACGCTTCTGGAGGTGAATATATTGAAGAATCTCATCATCAACTAATTCAGATGCAAGCTCATCGTAAAAACATCATCGTTTATGATACAGAGCTATCAACATCGGCAGAAGAAAAGAGACAGGAGCTTCACCATCATCTACGTTCTCATACTTCAAAAAATGAAAACAAAAATCGAACGATGATTGATGTGTATCAATCATTACCAGTAAATCGACCATTTACCGCACCGACAAAACGAAGGTATGTGCCCACAAAAATAAATTTCAGAAAGTAGTGTTCCAGAAAACAGACTCCTTATACATCTGCTCTCTCAGCTAGCTCCGTTTGGGATTTGTAAACTAGCTTTTATGTTCAAGGCATTCAGAATCGTTTCGGGCCTGTCTATCGAGTAGTCTATAAATGTCTGTTGCTTTTTTATAGGAACAGTTTGCAACCGAAGAATTTTCTGGTTCGAGTATTTCGAAACGGAGATTCCAGTCGATGTGCCTATTGTGCTTCATGCACTATGAACATTGTAAGATATATATATAACAGGATGACATATTACGATCATTACTGCTCTTGTGCTGAAATGGTTTCTTTTCTTTTGTTCTGCTTTAGATACTTTTAGAGGCTACACGTAAATTACAACTTGTTCAAGCTGCAAGGCGCCTATTTGACGCTAATGGACATGAAATTTTTCGAAGTGAAGATATTAAACGTAGCAGAGTATACTATGTATCATGTGGAGAAGATTACATTAATCCATGGAAAGCACTTAAACGTATGTAATTATGGATGCCAGATGCCGTCAACTGGTTTATAATCATCCGATTAAAAGAAGTTGCCAGTTATTCTTTTTGTTTGAGCTGGAAAATAGCAAAGCAAAGCAACAATACCTTGATATTCGCCTTTCTTAGAAAGTGAGACGGCAGCCATCTATTTGTGCAAAATTCAGCAGTTACTTTCACAGCTATGAAAACATGAGCGATCCCATCGTTTTGGTAGTGAACTGTAAATATTGTGTTTTATTCGAGTTGCATAGCTCCGGCAATAGTTTCGAGAATTCGAAAACGCTTTCTATGAATTTAGAAACTTTTTTTCTTATCTTTTCTTATTCATATAGGTCACATACAACTTCGTACACATATAAAATGGACACTCTATGGTATCAAATTTGTTTCTAAAAGAATCCGACGACAATGTAAGTCCACAGAGATGTTCAATATACCTTACCACAAGGTTTTGCCAACGTATCTGCTAAAGATAATCACAGTGAGACTTTTCGGTTCCAGTCACGTGATCTCGAGAAAGCAAGGTTGTGACAAGCAACGAGGCTTGTGAGTCTATGAACTAATGAAACATAATACGAATATGCATATTTGCAGCAACTCGGAAAGATAACGAGAACGATCAATCAGTCTGATATAAGAGAAAGAGAGGAGAAAAAGGAATGACATACAATGGCATGCAGTAGAGCGCTTAATAGGTGTGAAAATTAGCCTTCTGACAGCGGATTCGTTGCCAAACCTTTTCTTGGAGTGTTGGGTCTTGTATTGCCACAAAATCTTTTTTTATCTACTTTAAAGTGATCGAAATGTTCATTGTAGTTTCCTATCACATTAATCTGATTGACATCTGTTTGAAGATGATTTGGTAGGTGAAGATAAAAGGAAGACTCTCACTCGTTGTTACAGATTAGAAAAGAATCACTTCGACAGTCGGACAAAGACCAAGTCGTGAATTGCTGATATCTGAAATAATTGAAAAAGAAGATACGATGTGAAAGCGTGAAAAAACTCATTCCGAATCAGAGCTGGGCTAATACGGAGTTTGTCGAGTAAGAATACTACTAGGACCATACTTGGATACTTGAAGAACGTGGCACTCAAAATAAAGTTTATAATATGTTAAAAATTGCAGAAGAAGCAGTTTCCCATCACATATTCATCCAATTTGTTCTGGTCACTTACTATTGTGACTTTGGTACTAATGGAAAGAAAAGCTAATCTTCTTGTCTTACTAACGATCGACAAACAAGCCTCAATTTCGAGACAAATACCTGCACTGATCAATAGACAGGGAGATGCGAATTTTTGTGTAGGAGATTTAACAAGAACATCTAGCAAAATTTAAGCTTCAAAGTCATCGGAAAAATTGCCCGATAACATCTTTAAATGAAATGCGAAGTCAGTTAACGGTAGTGTCGCACTTATTTTAAGGAATTACTGTATTAAGTCTTGAAACTTGAGAAACGTAGAAAGAGCGCACATTGATTAGTATCAACCATGATAATCAACAATAAAGTGTGACGAGTTAGATATAATAGTGACAACGACTTTATTAATTGGTTGCCTTAGCGCATGAGCAAATTTTGGCATCACATTACCATAGGGAACGGCCTCTTTTGTCTAAAATCTTCAGTAAAGATCCTTCGAACACGAGTACGTGCTAATACTTCTCCAGTTGTGCTCTGAATGTTAACTTTGGCAGAGATTCCTTGGTTAGATTGATCTAAAAAGAATGAAAAAGATTGCAAAAATGCCTGTTTAAAATAAAACATATCCCTGAGTGTATCAAGATACTAGTTGGTTGATTGGGCGTTTGGAAATAGAGAAAGAGTAGCCATTAAAGAAAAACAGATATGGCATGGACACTAAGTCGCAGAATGTTCTGGTAAGTCTGAAGTAGTAAACGGAGTGCAATACTACCCTGGATAAATAGCTTGATCCGATTAGAACTTTTATGAAATCATCATAGTTACTCGTAGTTCTATTGCTAGTTTTGAAGCTGCTGCTGCCCTATTTCAACTACTATCGAAGTTTGCATTTATCAATGCACAGATCTTTATTTGAGCAAAGCCAGTGCGTTTTGAACTAAGTTTGTGGTGAGTGGTGAATTTCTTGTAAGGACATTTTGTCGTACGCAACAAAGCTTGCAAAGTATTTTCTACGAGCAAGGATCTCAGCATGATTAGAGATGAGCTAACGTGAGTAGGTAAGATTTAACGTGACTGGCTCTAAGATAATCTTACCATTGCATGAACACGGCTGAGCAATGATTAATATTTGTAGACACTAGTAGGAAGTGATGGACACCGCTTCTCAAACTTTCCCACTGATAACTGCACGTGTCTATCAATGTCCATTCACATCCCAAGAATTTGTTCGAATCTTCATAGAATATAACGTGAAAATTATCTTCTTTGATATATTTGTGACGTCCACGACGAGGTACAGATATCAAGAGTACAATCGGATTTTAATCAATGAGGAGATCATATTGTCTCGGAAACTAACCAATTGATATTTTAGTGAAATATTGATGGCTTCATTCAAAAAAAACATTCTAGACTCTAATAAACGTCATTGTATACCCGGGCTCGCTTACAGATCCATAATTTACTTAAGTTCGACGCTTCTCGTATTAAAACATATTTATTTTGTTAAAAGCTTATTTGTGGATGTGTATCTACACTGCTTTTCCACTATTGCTATTTATTTTTGATATTCTCAACTTATTTTTATGTCATATTACATACTGACCCTGTAGGAATAACCTCACACACGATATTACCGCAACACACAGGTCCTATCCATTTGAAAATGATGAGGTGAACGTGGCTGTGATTGCGTAAGAAGTGACGACCCTCTCCACCGCCGATATTCATGACCACATATTCATCCTAATAGAATGATGATTTAAATTCTACAACAGCGCATAGACAGAAAGTTTTGTGTTCTTCTCACGAATGAACTTAACTTATATGACACTTCGAATGGGGATAATTCTTGCGTATAGTCTTTTGCCAAACACTTAGTTTTCTAAACGGTTGCTGTCTATCACGACAATGAGATTTGTTAGCCAAACAATTAACTAGGTCGAATTCCAATCGAAAAATAATCAGTCATCTATATATCTTAAAGCTCAACCCCAAGATTATTTTTCACGGGAAGGGTGAGAAATTAAGGAGTGCGAAAACTCATATAGCCTTACCATCGAAATTAATGTTTCTGTTGCTAATATATTCCAGCTTCTCTATCCAGCGAAGATTCAAGCATAACTAGCGATGAAGCCTCTTTGTCTCCAACCAGGCCAAGTACATCAAGCAGCATTACACCTGAAAGTGCACAGACAGACGGCAAGGCTTCCCCACAGCCAAAAATGAAAGCTAGAGATAAGTCGATCCGTCAAGTAACAAAACCACCTCCAAAGATGAAATCTGCTTATACACAAACTGAAGAAGCGACAAAACCACCATTACTAAATATGAAATCTATATACACGCAGACCCTTGAAGAACAAGAAATTACGAACCGACATAGATGGACATCAATGCTTGAGGACTCACCGATACATCGTAGGAATAAAGTCACACAAACAGCGTGGGGCCGTGAAAGTAAAGCAACTCAAACCGGAGAAAATGTTCCCCCAAAACTGGTTTCCTCGTAAGTGAAGATGTTTGGATGCGTATAACTAAGAGATGAAGACTAATTTTCCAAAAGACCTAAAACGTTTTCAGATATAGATTAATATCAAAAAAATTTGGTTTCTTTTCACGAGTTTAGAGAGTTGATTGGATGCGTGTATCTGCACAAAAGCCCCTTATTGGTTTGACACTTTTATAAACTTGCACAAATGTGCTAAATCTTACCAAGTGAAAACTGATGAAATGAGCAAAAATTCGCCTTCAAGACTTTGAAAATTAAAAAAAAAAAAAATAGCATAATCTATTTATTTAGTTTAATGTATATCTAACCACAGAAATTCTGTTTTTTTTTGCTGCACAGGTCTCATTGTTTTTATCTTTTTACGGTTTGTCTAGTAAGCCAATCTACTTTCGTCCTACTCCCACGACTAACTTTCTTGTTAAAGTCTATCGCAATGGTGATCGTGGTCGATTTGCTTTTTGTAAATCCTGCTCAATGGAAATTGTAAGATAGTAATCTATTCACTTCTTCAAATTCCTTTTGAATTTCTGTCTATACTTTAGATATTAACACATGCGACACAGAAACTACAAATGCCTATGCGTGCTCGACGTTTATTTGATGCTAATGGAATCGAAATTTATCATAGCGCGGAAATACGACGTGATGAGGAGTACTTTGCATCGGCTGGAGAAAACTTTAAAAAACCATTAAATTAGCAGAATATATGTCTTTTATATGGTAGAAATTTATAGTAGTTGTCATAGAATGATGATCAATGAGCGAAATTCTGTCCATACTACATCATACTATATTATTACATATTTTACATTCTACCGTTATCGTACTGTAAGGAAAAACAATAAGCACATCAAATTATATTTTATAACAAATCACTACAATAAAATGCTTAGAAATTTCATTCCTATTATCTGTTGTTCAAACGAAATACTGTTGAAAAAATGAAAGTGATCAGAGAAAGAAATCGTTATTGTTTTAGTTAATGAAACAGGTTTCTTCGAATATTTCAAACAAAGATACACAACCAGTGCTTCCTTCAAGTAATAAATTATTGCTTCTTTTCTCCTTAGTCTCCTGTGTTGTGAATTTGTGTTCTCTTCGATATACAAAAATCTATTAATTCACCGAAAAAAATTTCCGTGAACCTTCTGACAAAAATTGAAAATAGCTTTATATATCTAATGCATATCGAAAATAATCGCGTTGAAAAATAAAATATTACATACTAAGTTTGATCAAGCATTTATTTAAGTGTGCATTTCAGATAGATAGTAGCCAGGGTGAGTCACACATGATAGATTGATCTCAAGCTATGTGTCGAAAGCTTTTTTCGAATCAGCATCGATTGAACAAATGCATAATTATCTTGGTTACAGTAGTCGTGCAATGATAGTGAACTATTTTGAAGCATCTTGTTTTGTTAGTCTTCATCGACTAAAGAAAGTTCTCAGCGTCATCATTGCGAGATTATAATGTCAAACACAATGAATTCGATGTACTCCTACACGAGAACCTTAGCCACATCGATAATTAGTCGTGGAAGTTACATGGTGGTCATGTACACAATCCAAACCGTTCGGGTTCGGGCAATTTTTCATTTCGAATATATTTCAGCCTATTCTGACTTTTTCAAATCTCTTTTTCTGATCTTCACTAAAGAAACCGAACAATTTGATCATCATAAAATTCTTCAAAGTTGAAAAAAGTTAGCTAAACAATTTCGGTTCGACGAAAATGCCTTATCTGTATTTTACTTTTCTATGCCCATAAAAATTTCAGAATAGGCTACGAATCGATTAGTCAAACTATGCATTCTGAGCTAATGTTCTCGAAAAGTAAGTAGAACGCGTATATAAAACAATGGAAGAAACTGACATGCTTGTTGATAAAAGGTGAAAGACCTAAATTCACTTGGTATTAGACAGACACCGACTCTTGAGAGTTTGTTTCAAAGTTCAAATAGTTTTAGGATCAAACATTGTCAAACTGTACTGAATCTCAACATCAAGCATGATGTGGTTTGCCTGTTCTATCTGCAGTTGGCTTGTACTTTTAATTTATTCATTAAAATATTTCAAGATTCGGTAGGATTCGGTCAACATTCAGAAAATAATACAGATTTCATTCGAAATCTAGCAAATCGTGAGACATTTTTATGAACCGAATAAAACCACAAGTGATTTTTGGATAGAGGAAACAAAACTACGTAGTCATATTTGACATTGAAATTGGGTAGGATTCAGAGATATTCTGTATAAAAAATATGTGGTCGTTGAAACGAACTCGTAGGATTTTCTTCTGGCTTACTAATCATTTTCATTCATGTTTTCCAGTAAGAGTTCCTAATCTCGGTTTTCTTGTGTCTCTTTGCGTTTATTTTTTATTTGTAAATATGTAAATAAGACATTTTTCTATATCATTCATGTGACTTGCATCGTAAAATCACGAGATGTGAGTGAACAAAAGCCGAGACATGACGACCACTTTGAATTTTTCTCAGTTACGTTCTCTTCCCAATCATATCATTCCACTTCACATGAATAAGACTAGTAGAAGAAAAAACATTGTCTCGATCCCAAAATCATAATTTGTTTTGACTAAAATTATCATCGTTCGATTTGTTACATCGAGCTTCTCCTATGTAGAAACAATTAGCAGAAAAATCAACATATTCATGATTTTCATCGGTTTCATACGTAAGTGATCGATGAAAGTTCAGCGATTACGTTTTCTTTCATTTAAATTGCAGATTGTAATCTGTTTTTTTTCGGAAATTTAATTCGGAATCAATTATTTTCCTTTGATTATCATGGCTCTTTGAATTGGAATCGAATACAATTGATTACTAGCGAGTATAATCAGTTGTGTACAATTTTTTCTTAATTAATTAGAATCAATTTTTCTTAGTAGTTGATGATTTTTTGTCCCATCTAAAATCAACTAATTCTGATCATACTCTACCAAAATCGATTTGCTTTTCGAACCGATTATTATCCTTTCAATAACAATAGAAGTATCTGTATTTTGCATTAATAAGATCGACCATATTTCAATTAGAATAATGCTCCCTGTCTCAGATTAACGAATTGAAACTATGAGTTACCCTTGACATGCCTCGATCGAGATATTAAAATTCCAAGATATTTTTAATTTTGGATATAGATACTACAGAATCATGCATCTTGAATATTTTTTAATGCTGTGAACTATCTTCTCAGTTAATCTGCTTCCCAGATTTTATTGAAATTTCGTCTAACATGAAAACTACTCTAGTTTCGATGTTTTATCAAAATTTGGTATTATATTAATAGATATTGATGAACATCTTCTCATTTAATCGTAAACTATCAAAGTTTATATTTTATTTGAACTGAAAGCGATGCAGTGAATCTAATAATATTTGTGGAATTTACCATGCACACAGATCAACCAATTAGATCGGGTAGAGACAATAAAGGTCTTATTGTATCAAACAGAAACTATAAATATTCTTTCTTCATATTTAGTGATTGTGCAATAATATTCCTAATATTGTAGTAAAATAATGTTTGGTTTCTGAATTTTCACAACTCTTTCTCTGCTTGTTTTGATCTACACAAAATCAGGGTTAGTAGACTTTTGAAAAGTGGAGTGAAGAGTCGGTAGCAGATTTCATACTGAATGTTAATAAAATTTATGTTAGTATCGATTCATAGGCATCCTTGCTAGTATTATGTGTCTGTTATACTTACTCTTTAATGAGTTAACTGTCATTAATAAAGTTAATAGAGCTCGTCAGATTGAATATAAAAAAACGTTCCTTTACCATACATTAATAGATTACTCTTGATTCTGGAGATAGCAATTTAATTTAATTTAGATAGGTTTCGACTCCACTAGAATCAACAAATATCAGAAATTATCTATGTGACGAAAGACGTAGAATTTCGAGCAAAAAGGATGTCGGTGTGTGAGTTTTGAAGAAGGTTTTCTCTGTTCCCAAATCCCGCTTGCACACACTCTTCCTCTTCTATATTTATTATGATACAATATTTTGTCGAAGTATAGTGTGTGATTATTAGATTTAATCCATTTAAATTTTGTGGTCTGAAACAACTCTTAAATAAACCCGAAAGTATTGGATGTTTGTATTCATCTTCAGTCAAGTCAGAGGTACGAACAACATACAATCAAACTTTAGTGACAACTGGTCTATTTCGTTATTGCCGTCATCCTTTGTATTTGATTACTTTATTGAGTATGATAATCACACCTGTTATATCACTTGATCGTTTGGCTTTTATTATATATACATGTATATATGCATTAATCGGTATTCCTTGTGAAGAACGCAAATTAATACAAATATTTGGTCAAGGTTATGTTAATTATCAACACCATGCACCAGCTATTTTTCCTTGTTTTATCTCAAAAACAAAACAGAATTAATAACTATGGATTCCTTTTTTCATTTTTTTAAAACAATTCATTGATAAATATGTTTGCTGATTTTGTCAATTCAACAACATCATACTTTTAAAATAGAATTTTCTTTCTTCATATCATAGAACTTTACTTTCAAACATAATGTTTATTTTGTTTCTTAACATTACTGATAGAATCATCGATAGTGTATACTGTTGATCATCTACATACACAGTATCAAATATGTGAATCAGTTTAACTTCTTCGATAAAATTTTTGACAGAACAAATCTTATGAATAATAATCGTATTGAGGCAAGTACTGAATGTAAGTTTATCAAAAATGAATGAAAGTAAATAAATGATTTTTATAATATATATTATTTGAAGAACCAGAAACAACTCGCATAGTTTGAAATTTTCGTCGACACACAACTGAAGCGATAAATAAAGCTGGTCGTTTTATTTCGATAATAATATACTTTTTTGTTTGTAAACACACACTAATGAAGTCAAACATACATACCATGATCTTGAAATTTTTTTCGTTCTTTATAACTTACAAAAACAAAAAATATGCTGATTTTAAGATTTTTCTATTGATCCAGTCAACTTCAAGTTGAGTTTATTTAAATCAATCGAAAGAAAATGTCATTGAGATAAATTATTCATTTTCAAAAAAAAACATGTTTGGTATATCGAAGAGAGTTACATACCAAGAAGATATGTGTAAAATAATTAAGATTTCCATATGGGATTATGTTTTGACTGATCGGATAGTGGTTTTTGACGATGATTCAAAAGTTCATTATTACAACTAATGCATAAATATGGAAAGAGATTTTTTCGTTCATAATATGTTACTAATATCATTCGAGGTTCTTTATTACAACGTGTACATAATCGATCATAATTAGCTGAACTAGCTCTTGGACCCGTAAATGTTTTTGTATTTGTTATTCTCGGTGTTATTATCGTTGTAACAGGTGGTACTACTGGTGATGAATAATGATATTGTGCTGATGTGTATGGTTGGCTTTCAATCATATATGTTGTAGTTTTACGATGATGATTATATTGTGGATATGAATGAGATTCATTATTGGAATATTTTGTAGGTGATACTCTATTTATTTCATTTGCTGAAAATATACGGCGATCAGCAGTAGAAACAGTTTGTTGATATAATCTGATATGTCTATAAATAATAAATGTTAATATATATAAAGATGCAAATAAGATAAATAAGCCGGCACAAAGTATTTGAATACTTTGAAATATACGTTTTGCATTCATATTTGTTTGAAAATAACTTGGCCATGTTATATAAAGTGGCCAACCAGTTATGATTATATTCTGTGTTGAATTAGATATATCAACTGAAGCATCATTACAATTTAAAAAGAAACATCGAGTAGGATCAACAAGAACAAGAATATCATAAGCAACTAAGACCATACATAATATAATCATGATACAACATAATATTACATTGATACGAAGAATAGTCAAATGTGGCTTCCATGCTGAAAAGATGAATACTTTCTTTTTAAGCTTTTAGTTCTTTTCAATTATCTTTCAAAGTGTTTTTTTTCTCAGCTTTTGTAATAGAAAACATTGCTGTACAATTTCAAGCCATATATGAGCATAAGCATTCAACTTTCTTTAGTAACGTGTTATATATAAAGAGCACAGCACTTATTTTCTAGTACAATAATTTGAAAATAATTGAATTTTTTAATTATCAATAACTTTCTTATGAAAAGCTTGATTACAAATACATCAAATAATATATACACATTTTAGTTTGCTCCATCTTTTTTCTGCGAAGAATAAAATCTTTTAATTGACTTTACTAGTATGAAAGATTTAAAAATTTTCAATAATAGTAAAAAAAAGGACTTTCAATTGTAATCATATAGACTAGCAAAGCCGTGATCATTCTCAAGAAAACCGTGTTAAGACATTTCTTTTGAAATATTTTAACGATTCATCTGTAAGAAGTTTTTGCGACGTTAGACAACTCTACTATATTTAATTGAAACACCACCAAAACAATATTTGTAAAAAAATATCATTCATTATCTTTCAAAAACAACATATTTTCTGTTCTTCAATACTTCTTCGCTAAGATGAATAAGAAACAAAATTAACGACAAACGTTTTCACTACCTATCAGTAAACATATATTATAGGATCTATAGGGTTGTTTTTCTCAATGACAAGTTTGATTTCATTTAACTAAGGTTTTAATAATTATCATTCTAATAAGGCTTCCTCGTTGATTATTGACTAAAATACAAAGTTTTTTTATTATTTATTTTTGATTACTTTCTTTTCGCATTTATTTGTTAAGTTAAATATTTAACCTTACCAGTAATCAACACGAAAATAGAACAGATCATTAGAGGAATAAAAACAATAAAACCTCCAAAAGCTGTTGATCGACGAAAATCGAAAATTGTATGACCCACTTCCATGCCAGCTATACTTAAAGAAACGAAGATTAATATCAATCCAAGTATAATTATCCAAACATGAGGCCATTCTAAATACAACCCGTATTTATTAAAAGTAATTGTTGATTTTGATATGTTTGACTTGAACGACATTTTAACTTTATCAAATTTGAAATAGTAATGTATATGTCTCTTCTTCTTTCTTTTTTTTGACAGAAACAAAAAAAACTACGATCTTCAAATGTTAATTTTGTTATTGCAATGAAAAAAGCAAATCAAAGAGAAGGAATAGAAAAAAAGCTACATAAATACTTTCATTAATCCATGAAAAATATAATCAGTATATGCAGAGAATATCTATCGACCTCATTCTTATTAAATAGTTTAAATAAAAAAAAAACAACGAATGCAAATCGATAAAATGTTTTTTATTGTGGATGTCTGTCTTAGCAACAATCTAATAAAAAAACAGAATCTCAATGTACCAAATAATATTTTTTGTTTTCTTAAGTGTTGTGAAGTAAACTCTATTGAATAAAATTTTAATTGAAAAGATACATGGACATAACCATAACATTATTGGTGAATCTAGGAATTTGATAAACGAAGGCGCTTGGATCATAAGCAGGCAGGTCATCGTCACAAAGTATATTTTGAAATCCAAATAGAGAGCTCATTTTTGGATGTTTTCTGTTGAGAAAAATCGAAAAATAGTTTGAAAAGAAAACGTGAGCGTCTCTCTCTAAATCCTCCATCACATATCACGTTTTTTTCATAATCACAGCACGATCAATTTCTTTAGTGAGACAACCTTTCCGCGATTTCTGAAGAACAACTCATCAGAAATATTTGAAACTTTCAGGATGAATAGATCTTAATAAATAGAACAAAACTTGGAATAGGCTCCAAATGTCCAAATATATACTTCTTGAAGATATCAGGATCGCAAAGGCTAAAAATCATCTAGTTCTTACAGCCGTAATAAGTTCAATAGGGGTGAATTTTTTTTTACAAATACTGCAGACACTGTTTGGGATGCCTAGTTTTTGTTTTTGATTTCTTTTTATTTCCTTACATTCGAATAAAAAAATCAAAATATTGAGCGTATCTAAAAAAAACACATGTCTTTTTTATTAGAGCTTTTTTGTAAAATCTGTCAAAATACAATGGTACAATATTTTTCAAAATACAATAAAAGTAGGCATTTCAAACAGCATTCAATATCTGTAAAGAAGTATTTCAGCTCGATCGAACGTACTTATTATGTTGGAGAAACAAGGGTAACTTTGTATTTTTTTTTGTGTAAAAGTTGATTTCGAGAAAAACGAAAAACAAATTTTTTTATATGTATAAATACTTCTTTCTCCGACTAAAGTGATCGAAAACTGGTAGTACTAGAGAGCAATGGCCCATGCTCTCAGCAGTTTCGACATGAGAAATAATCATTATCCGTAGAAGAAGATTACAGTACGAATTTTTCTCCTAGGAATTTCGAAAGTTCACTTTAATAAAAGTACTATTTAACAATAGAGAGCTCTCATTTATATGGAATTTGACAAAGGACATTTTGAAGTTAAATTAGCGGTGAAAAATTTTTAAAAAATCGAAAAATTTTGATTTTAACATCCTAAAATGGAAACTGCATTAGGTTGAAATCAATATATGAAATATCGTCACTTAGTGACCTCTTTGCAATGGAAAATCTGATGAAGGATTGATTACTTCTTTCGACTGGATGATAAATGTAACTAAAGAAATATTTAGCTTCTTTTTTTATCCATGTAAATTGTCTCATTCTTTGTTGTATTTATTTTTTTGTAGTGAGCATAAGACGATTTTATTGCTCTTTTTCATGTACAGTATGAATAATTATTTCTTGTCAAGAAATCAGTAATAATGTTTAAACCTTTAATCAAGAAAGTTCGTGAAAAAAGTAACAATCCGAGTACTTTACCGGAAAATAGTTCCGATGAAATAAATGAAAATTCAAGTAAAGATACTAAGAACAGTTCCGATTATGAAAATTCTCCACCTATACGTTCTCATCGTAAGTAATAGGATAATTTTTTCTTTCTTCAATGACTTATTTTTTAATCTTATTTTAAAGGACGAACTGATTCGAATATACAACAATCGCTGAGAAATGAATCGAGAGCTTCTTCAATTTCCAATGAAGTTCGTGATTTGATTAAATAATTTTTTTTTCTATTGATTTTCTTAATGTACTTTCAGGCAGATAACAAGGAAGAAGTGGTAAAATCCTTATGCGATATTTTTTCTCCATATATCGAAGGTATAAACATCATGATTTCTTGTTTAAAATCAATGTTTTTATTTATAAGAACCAGTTTCCATTGATAATTATGTACGAACTCTTAAATCATGGGTAAACTAACTTTTTAGTGTTAATTAAAAAAAAAATAATATTTTGGTTTTGTTATAGATCGATTCAAAAGAAGACATTCTCAAACAAAAGGATGACACTATCGAACGACTAATGCAAGAAACAGTTCATTTACAAAATGAAATGACAATACTTAGAAGTCAATTTACAGAATTACAGTATGTTTTCTTGGTTAAAATTTTATTTGATAATTAAATTTTTTTTCTTTAGAAATTTAAGAGAGAAAAATCCAAGTGATAATACTGTAAAAGTAATACATTTTATTATTTTCATCATAGAATTTATTTATTTGTTTTTTTTTATCTTCTCAAGGTGCCTTATTTACAAAAACAAATTGATAGTCTTCGTTCCGACAATGAAAATCTCAAATTAACTGTAAAATCTTTACGAACACAATTAAGTGATGTTGAATCAGGTTTGTTAATCAATAATCTTTTTGTATATTTTTCTTTGGCAGATGAGATTTTCTTTTTCTTTTAGAAAGAGATGATTTACTTATAAAATCAACTGATGTATGTCATTTAAAGCCTAATGATGATTTTCAAAAAAAACTTGATAGACAAAAATCTGAAAACGAACGACATGAAATTGAAATACAAAATTTAAAAGAAGCTCTCATTGAACGAGATGTCATTATTGAACAACAAGATAAACGTTTATTAATTGATCACGAAACACAGGCAATACAAACAGTCTGTTTTGTTTGTCTTCTTTTATAATTTACTACATATATTCTTTGATCATTGCTTTAAAAGGATGAAGATCAATCATTTGTTCAAGTACTTGCTGAACCAGATGTGGATACAATTAGTAAATTACAAGCCGAATTAGATGATAAAAATCGAGTAAGATATCAAAACTAATCAATCAAATTCCATTACATCAGATGAAGTATAAGAGTTTAAGCGAGTTCGATCGATAGTAATTAATCTTTTTTTGTGAAACATGATCTAAAAGGAATGTTGAAGGTATATAGGACAGAAATCCGCACCTCTTGGCAATATTTTACTCACTTCCTCCGTATCACCGATCGCAACAGGTTTGATTGATTATACGATCAGAGACTGTATATCAATAATGTCCCGTTCTAATATATGAACTACTTTCTTATTGCATTATTGGAGAATTAAGTAAAAGCATGATGAAGAAAGCAATCTCTCTATGATTAACAACAGCAACTACATCGTGTTTCACGCTTTAGTTCAGCGGGAGTCTCGCGAACAATTTTTCTTTGTATTATGTATAATAATCTTAACGATAGGATTGCCCAAACCGAGAATTACATCGGTTACCAAAGTTGGGAGTCAGAGTTTCGGCAAGAACTTAAATTGATCTCATTAACCCTAATAAAAAGCCTTATTTTCTTAGTTCGTTACTACATTCCGTAGTGCTGAGCTGTATGAATTTACATAGTACTATTGGTATAGTGTTATTATTCTCAATACTACAGAAGGTAACAACTAATTAAAGAAATAAGGTTGTCGTATAGGGATCAATGAGGTCAATATAAGTTTGGGCCGACATTTATTGTAACTCTCAAAATTGTTTATCAAGATTTAGTTTTCAATTTTTTTCTGCAGAGAAAACTATATATAAGAAGGATATAAAAAAAATAAAACGATTCCTAAAAATAACCTTTTTATAAAAGAAAATCTCTAGTTTTTCAACATTTAGAGTGCTCAAATACACTATTCTTCTATCTACATGAAACGATCGAGCAAACAATTTTCCAGAAAATTAGACATGTCCGGAGCCCGTAGTACCGTTTTATGATTGTGATGTAATAACTTTCTGGAATCGTCTGAAGCCAATTTTTTTGCTATTTCCTATGAAAAAACGTTTTTTGAGTCTTCAATCAAATTCTTGTATCTCAGATAAAAATATTCGTACGGATCTTGAAGACATCTCATGTGGTAGAGGATTGTTTGCTATATCGTTTTATGCAATCTGAATAGAGATATATGTAGAAAAATTGAATCTTTAATTTTCTGACGATCCCGTCTTTGAAAATCATTTTAATTTCTTTTTGGAAACTATTTTCTCTACTAGAATCACTATTGAAGTTCTTTTTAGCAGTTCAAGGTTAGAGAAAAAAATTGAAATCAAACTGTGTTGAAGAAATTTGTTAATCACTGTATGTAAATAAAAAGCATCTTCACTTCTTCGACTGTTACGAATTAGCGTATTACGCAGGGTTTTTTAATCTTTGCCTTATTTCATGACATGTATTGTTTCAAGAGATAGATATGTCAAGATCAGTTGTTTTGCTAACGTGACTCAATCATCATTGAAATTTCGATGATTCTAAGTAGATTTTGTGTTCTATTTCTTGTATGTGATTAGAAGTTAGTGAATAGCTCATTTGAAAGACAAGTTAAGCATTAGATCATTGATATGGTTTTTATTAAATACATTGACATAATCACTCATATTTCTAATTGTGGTGGTCTATTGAAGGTTTATCTAAATGGTTTTAGACTTGTTTTCATATTTATTGAATTGTCAAAAACTTGAAAATTTGAGAATATGACGAAAAAATAGAGAATACTACTATTTTGGAATATGATGAAATCAATAATGCGCTAAGACTTTATAATATTCGATATTCAAATTTGAAAGTTTAATAAATTACAAGATTTCAACGTGTTCGATAATTGATTAAATAGATGAATATAAAAAAATGCCAACTAATGAGTTTTTCAATAAGGATAGTTTCTTTATAATTTGAATTGATTTCATTTTATTTGTTATTTCTTTTTAAAGCATGCATCAAACGACATACATATGTATGAATTTATACTTTAGACAATAAAAAATTTACAACAACGTTATAATGATCTTCGTAAAACGCTTCAACGTGAATTTCATGCATCTATACCTAAAGATCTCAATCAAATGGGATCATCAAAACCAAATAATGCTACTTCATCATCACCAACAAATCTTCCATTGATACATTATGATGCATCAGCAACATCACAAAGTGATGTTGACGTAGCTAAACGAGCATCAACAGCACGGCAAATGACTGCAATACGTAAAAATGTTACATTTACATCAACAACAACAGCAGCTGCACCCACAAGTCCAGCAATTTTACCATATACATCAATTGAATCAACTTCGACAAAATCACAAATGAATGGACATCGTTCATCTATTGATGGACAAACTATATTAAATGGTACAAATTTTAAATATCTTAAACATGTTTTGCTTAAATTTATGACTTCAACTGAAGATGAAGTAAGATTAAAGAGAAAACAACGAATTTTATTTTTTTTGTTTTTTATTAATTTTAATTAAAGGCTATTCATCTTATTCGTGCTGTGTCAACATTGCTCAGTTTTTCAACCGATGAAGAACGTCTTCTTCGTGAAACACTTGATAATAAAATGTCTTGGTTTGGAAAAGTGTCTCGTCATAAACCGTTATCATCCAATATTAATTTTTAATTTTAAAGAAATCTACACATACAAATTGTTACTTACTTTATTTATTCAAATAAACATTTGCTTTATATTCATTTAAATTAAATTAGTTTAAGCTTCATAAGGGATTAATGTCTTTTTACAATATGAAATTCTTTACAACATTAAAAAGAAACAATATTGTTTTCAATGGAGATTTCTTCTTTTTCATGTATGATCAAATAAATGAATTGATTAAGAAATAAAATTCATTTTGAGAATGTATTTTGATAAATTAAAATCTAGAAAATTTTTCTTTTACACAATAAAGTCTTTCCTAAAAGAACATCGTCAGCACTTTTGAAAAATGTTTACTATTGAGTGGGTTCATCTACGAGATATGCCATATATTTTTGAGCTGCTAACAGATCAGTTTTTCCTCGCTAGGCCTGCAGACTAAATCAGATCTATTGGTGTTTCTGATTTTTCGAGTACGTTTAAGTTCAAAACTCTACATTAATGTATCATTCTAGTTTCTCCGTCATTAGGTAAAAAGTGCCTGAACTTTTATCCTTTACTCTCATCGTTTGGCTACAAATAGAACATATTGAACTTTGATGTCAATGCCTAATCAGGACTTGATTGACCTTCATACAAAGGAGCTAGAAGGTCAACATAGGTTTTTTCTGCAGACAAATAAACATTTCACGTGAGACGGTTATAGTTTATCTGATTTGTACAGTATTCTTTGGGTAATCGGATCATGAGATGTGATGGAAATCGCCGAAAAGTGACCGATATCGTCAGCTAATTATAATAATTCACCTTGAATTTTTCTCCATTCAATGCTATACTCTAATCAAGTTTTTAAGGGAAACTTCATGATCACAATTATTAATGGAGAAGAGATTTATGCTTAAACCGTTCCAGGCAATAGAGGGTTCCTTGCACTTCAAGAATACAGCGGATTATAGGACGCTATCCATGACACAATATAGATATGCGCATCTTTATTTATTCATTAATAAGAAAAAGGGAATTAACGCATTTAAATAGTGGGAAAAAGTGCCAACAAAGTCTTTCTTTAACCCTAGAGTAAAAAAATCAGTATTTTCATAACAAATTCTTTGCATTGAGGTCTATCAACTCGGGACTACTGCTGACATTCAGAGTTTATCAAGCTGTATTTGTAGTCAAAATATCAGGCGAAAATATTATGCTTTTTTACTCGGTAGCAAGACTTCTTGCAACTACTGTAGCAAATAAAAACAATAGATAATTCCATAGATATTTTTCATACAAGCAGTGCTTGAATGAACGCACTGCTTCTAATGATACTAGTTCTACTTCGAACAATCGAAAAAACGTAATCATCATGGTAAAACAACATATCATTAGGCCTACAACGAAAAGATAAAAGAATATGTAGAAAATAAGTGACACTTATGATAACAGACAAGGACATTTAAACTTGACAATCATTTCTCGGAGCAGCATGGTAGCAAAATTTACAATCCAACTGCAGGTGAACAACTTTGACATGGCCTAGTCTGTTTACCAAGCCGAATATTATATGAACGAGGCAAGGCAGACTAAAATTTCAAAATTTGGCCTGATCTGATATACGGTCTGGTATCTTGCAAACAAAGGTCCAAACAAGCTACGAGGCCTGCCGATCTCTAGAACAGGCCAGGCAGACTGCTTGGAAATGACAGGCCGCCTGACCTGTCTACTTTTTTTTCGAAATCGAAGTGTCATCTGATAACTTGATGATATTCTTAGCAACTAGACACAAATTTCATTAATTTTCAAAATGTCACATTTAAGCGTGATGCATCAAATAAATACTGCGAAATGAGTATTAAAGATACTTACAGAAATTTAATTTCCTTACTATTCTGAAGAGATCATGAGCATAAATTTTCATAGTTATCATTATCTACTTGTCATTTTTTCCAAGGTGGAAAAAGCGAGACTTCACTTGTACTTCCTCTGTAACCACTCGTAGTTCCCTGTACTTCACTTGTGTTTCTACTTGTACTTCATTCATACTTCAATTTACTTCACTCCATTTCATTTGTGCTTCACTTTTACTTAACTCGAATTTCACTGTACTTCAAGTACAATTTTGAAGTACGAGCGAAGTACGTGAAGTTTCGAAGTCTCGCTTTTTCCCCCTTGGGTTCCAGTGACTGCCCAATAACTATAGTCAAAGTGGCCATATAGTAAACGTGGTACAATTCTGGACATAGTTATTATGATTCAAACGACGTCAAAGAATATTATTAAGCCCATATATCTTGACTATGACCTTAAAATTAATAGACCAATATGAGCTATATAAAAGTTCAGATCACGAGCATTGTCATTAATGCATTGGATTAAATTGAATTTAGTTCAGTCGTGTATAAATGAACATATCATTGTTTCATGAATTATATTTTGTTGAGTAAATTTGACCATAGATCTATAAAAAAAACACAAATCTGCCTTTTAAGCAATTCTCTAGACGAAAAGGATAGGAACTAGAAAGAAAAATTCACCTGTGTCTATCTGTAACATAGTGAACATATGGTAGCTATCTGTGGTACAAATGATCATTAGATAACTATGGTATGAATGAACAGATGGTAGTTATGGCTACAATGGTACAAGTTGTTGCATTGAATAAGAAAAGGGCATCTACGCATTCGAATTCATTCAAATTAAACGAGGAGTAGTATCCCAGGATTAAGGATTGGAAACTCATATACACTTCGTCTTTCACTATATACGATAGTGTTTTGCTGTATCATGTGAATCCGTATTTCTACGTATCGTATACGGAGAAATAAGATCGTAATACTAAGTCATGTAACAAATCAATATACGACGACTTACTGTCGTTTACGAGCATATTTGTTTAACTTGGAATGCTTTCAGAAGCGATGACCATTGTTATTAAACTATTCAAAGTTTCGATCAATTGTTCAATAGTGTATACATGAAGGTGTGATACTGTCATTTTAAGAGTTAGACAGTGAATCTAAACATAAGATTATGATAAACTAAAATTATTTTGTGTGAATGATGTGGTATTAATTTTCTTTCCAATAGAAATAGTGCTACTATAAGTAATTGTAAATAATTTTACTGATTTCTATGTTATCTTTATAAATCAATATTGGTAATCATATATATTTATATAACACATGTTTTATTCCAAACATGAAGAAGACACTATAATATGAATGGCAAAAAATCGGATCGCTTTCAATCTCAAGTTTTTATCTAAACTATTGAAACTTCGAGTATAAAATCTCTAAAATCAATATATATCATTGTGTGACTGATTATCATGTAGAGAATTCCAAAATTTAACACATATCAATATATGATAAGAAGAGGTTTTCATTCTTCGTACTCAATTATCATTTGAAACCGAAAATTAACTATTAAGAACTATAACCTAAACCCTACACACCAGATGGCGGGAAATCAAAGACTATCATATATATTTCCATATGAACGGCGGACCGAGCGAGCGAGACAAAAGCAAAGATTATTTGATAGATTTTCCTAGTAATAAGAAAAGACACGGAAGCAATAACCGCGCTTAGATCATTCCGCAACTCTGTGGCTTCTAACTATTCTAAATATTGAGGATTTTGGCTTTCAATTTAGTGAAAACATCTTATTGTAGGTGTCAATCAGTAAAGCGGTGGTATTATTGATTTAATAAAGTCACAATAAGACGAACATAGAATCATTTGAACTAATTGAATTATAAGTTTAGGCAAAAATTAACAGTGTATTTTGAAGTTCATCGATAGAAAGGATGGTATGATTGGAAGCTAAGTGAACAATTAAATCTATGTGTATAGCAGATTAATATGTAGTTGAACCGATGAAACCGAGAATACATTGGTATTTGCCCCTTCCTGTGGCGCGCATCTTACATATTAACATTATGAGAAAAGAAATCATGTATTGAATATTATTTGTGAAGATAAATAAAATTTTACAATATAACAATGTTAAATGAATGAAATAAATTGTTAGAATAGTTATTCTTAATGCGAACAACCTTGAAATAATAAAATTTCAGAGCGCGTGTATCAACTATGAAAATTGTCATAAGTTTGATTTATTCATTTGTTTGACATCTTTTTAAATAAATTATTTTAAAAGGTACGACTGTATACCATACATTTATAACAGCCAGAGTTTGTGAGATCCACACTTTGGCCTGTTAAATGGCCGCAATCACAAGTGTTTTTGAATCAATAAAGAAAATACAACAGCCAGAAACTCAATAAATATGTTGAACGATTCCTGAGACTTCAAATGTTCAGTTTTTAATAAATATTTCTCTTAAAACAATAATCAACTATCATTCCGTATATGTGTGTTAATTTTATTCAGAAAGATTCTTTCAATTAGTAATTGATTCTGAATGAAACTCAGATGTCATCATCATCATCAAGAGCAGTATTAAAAAGGTTTTTTCTTTCACTATCGACTAGACATATAATATATGTACAAGCTGATACATTCATACATTGTCAAGACGAACAATGAAAACGAAATAACAAAAAAACAATAGATCATTCAGAGAGAAAAATATATAGAGAGAGCAATAGATTCATGCTATGTCTGCTTGAAAATCTAGTTTAAGATTTGTTGCTGGATACTTGGAAGCACGGCTCCGAGAAAATTAAGTACGTTTTGCTCAGCTTTTTATACTGTTTCGAATGATATATTTTTCATTTAGTTTGCACAAGATCAAATATTTCCAAACAGTTGATATGATTTAGTAAAAATGAGCATAAAAGATCAGATCTTATGGTACAATCTTCATCTTGCTTCTTTGACAATAAAAAAATTTCTTCATTATCACTATCATCATTTGCAACAGTTTAGTGATTAACTTTTTTCAGGGCAGACAAATAATCTTCTTTGCTCTGGATAAATCATAAAGCTTCATAATTCAATTTGATATGTTTTTTTCAAATTATCATATAAACATTTAATATAGCAAAATTCACTATATAATGGATATTTAT